GGAGAGGACACCCTGAGCGATTCAGGTAAAGACCGAACTCGGGTCCGGCTGCCTCCCTGGGGCACTGGACCCCGGGTCGCGTCCCCTTTGTTAGTGCTCGTATGTCTTGCCCTGGGGAGCGTTTTGGAGGCAGTGCTGGGGGCAGAGAGGTCCTGTTTCCTCCAAGTCTCTCCTCGGGGTAAAGAGAAGGGGCTGAGAGAAGGCCTCTGCAAAGGGTGCTCTCCAATTCTGGCCTTTACTAAAGTTCCTTCCACCTTCTCCTGAGGAGCCCTCCTCTAGGCCGTCACGGACCCTCACCCCGTTCCCCCCCCATCTTTTGTAGCGCAGCCCGAGGAATAAAATTGGCGAAAGTTGTGGCTAAACCGGGTGAGGGTTTAGGGGGTTGCTGGGTGCGTTGCCTGGACAGAAACCTGTTAGCGCAGGGGTGAAAGGGACTCCGGCCCAGGTCAGGGGAGGGAAAGACATCCCGAAAAGATACAAGGGCTGTGCAAAGCCCTTTTTAAGGCGCAGGAACTTAAGGAGGGTTGCACAGATGGCTAGAGTCGGTTTTCTTTTTTTTTTTTTTTTTCCAAATGTCGGTACCCTTCCCCCATCCTCGGTGGGTGGTGGGCTATTTGCTCCCGGTGCGTGGCCAGCAGGCGGCGATATGCGAGTCCAGCAGGCGGGCCCGGGATCTGAAAGGCTGGGGGTGGTGGGGGCACCCTCCCTCCCTCCATTCAGCAGCTGGCTGCAAGTGCAACAGCAGTTGTGTACATTCTTAAGGGGCCTCCTCTTTCCAATGTGCAGTGAAAACTGGCTCCAGTTTTGTCTTCCAGCCTGAATTCCAGGCCTAATTTGAGATGTGAGTTGTATCTGTAACCCAGTGCCCTTGAAGGTGAGGGCAGGCACTCAGCAGCCTCTCCAGGAATGCTTGCATCCTGGGAGGACTCACTGGTTAGTTCTATTGTGTGCATTTGTCTGTGCCTTAAGCTGAAGCGAAGGATTAAAACCAGGCCTTTCCCTGGGGGTCTGGATGAACAGAACTCAACCCAGAGAGTGGCATTGCCTTGTCCTTGGAGCAGGGAGCTGGGACCACCCCCCTCCTTGGACTTGGAAAACGAGTGTTTTCAGAATGCAGGTGGAAACAATCCTAAATTTACTTCTGGGCTGAGGAGAGATATTTGAGGCTCCTGGAAGGAAACTTGGTGATAAGCCTCCAGTTTGAAACGGCTCTGTCCCTTTAATGTCTGCGCCTTGACAGCTTTCGGTGAGGAAGCACTTCCGTCCAACAGCTGTCTTCTTGGCAGAAAACCAAAACATTGGCTTAAAGGGACCTACAGACTGGAACAGCCTCACATTTCGGCTTTAGAACAAATCCCACAATTGTTCAGCTTTCCGGTCCCCTTCAGATCAAGCAGAAGATGTGTTTTGATTTTCATGCTTGTATTTTAAACAATAATTTTCTAGCCCGGCGTGGTAGTCAATGAGGAGAGAGGGGAAGAATGCACACAGGATGCTACACGTTTTTGTTGTTGCTGTTGTTATTGGTGGCTTTGAGGAGGGCTGCTCCCATTTGGGGGTTTATACCAACTGTGGATTATGGCTTTGTAGTTAAGACTTGATCTTTGTTAAATGCAAAACTGCTTACTTGTATAAAACTCAGGTTTGTGGATGAAAAGTTGTTTTTCTTCTTCAGTTAATTAAATTGTTCCTCTAGTTTGTTTAAGGACTTAAAATCAAACACAAGCATGTGTAAATTGCTAAATGAGGCTCCTAAAATGAGAGGCCTCAACTCTTTTAAGTGTGGAGCTAGAAATGTAAATAAGTCCACTGGGCAGACTGGTGATTATGATAAAAGCTACCATTTACTGAGCATCTGTCTACTAGGCGCAGCTCTATGCTAAGTCTACGTTTTGTCTGTCAAAGTGGTATCCCCATTTAATAGCTGAGGAAACAGAGGCTTAGAAAGGCTGGGTAACTTGACCAGGGTCATGCAACTGGTCTGCGGTGGAGCCAGGATTCTGTCTGACCCTGAAGGCCAAGTTCTTTATATTTATTTCTACCACCTGCTAAAGTCTTGAATGAAGACTGAAAGCACAGTTGGGGAATGGGGAAGGAAAACATACTTATATATACACACATACATGTATATGTATGTATGTATGTTTTTCTTGTTTTGTTTTTTTGATACGGAGTTTTGCTCTTGCTGCCCAGGCTGGAGTGCAGTGATGCGATCTGGGCTCACTGCAACGCCCGCCCCCCCGGGTTCAAGTGATTCTCCTGCCTCAGCCTCCCGAGTTAGCTGGGATTACAGGAGCATGCCACCATGCCCAGCAAAGTTTTGTATTTTTAGTAGAGGCGGGGTTTCACCATGTTAGCCAGGATGGTCTCAATCTCCTCATCTCAGGTGATCCTCCCGCCTCTGCCTCCCAAAGTGCTGGGATTACAGGTGTGAGTCACCACGTCCGTCCTACAGATATATTTATTTTAAAGAGATCTAAAACATACATAACTGTCCACATCTACATTGATGGACCCGTAAAAATAACACACTCTGTGCCAGGGTCTGCCGGAAGAGACAGATAACACATACATAACAACATGAATATATATGAATTTCATTCAAATGGTTCTCACATGAGAGTAACTGGCATCTTGTTCTCAGATGATGAAGATGATGAAGAGGAAGATGAAGAGGAGGAAATTGACGTGGTCACTGTGGAGAAGCGGCGTTCCTCCTCCAACACCAAGGCTGTCACCACATTCACCATCACTGTGCGTCCCAAAAACGCAGCCCTGGGTCCCGGGAGGGCTCAGTCCAGCGAGCTGATCCTCAAACGATGCCTTCCCATCCACCAGCAGCACAACTATGCCGCCCCATCTCCCTACGTGGAGAGTGAGGATGCACCCCCCCAGAAGAAGATAAAGAATGAGGTGTCCCCACGTCCGCTCAAGAGTGTCATCCCCCCAAAGGCTAAGAGCTTGAGCCCCCGAAACTCTGACTCGGAGGACAGTGAGCGTCGCAGGAACCACAACATCCTGGAGCGCCAGCGCCGCAACGACCTTCGGTCCAGCTTTCTCACCCTCAGGGACCACGTGCCGGAGCTGGTCAAGAATGAGAAGGCCGCCAAGGTGGTCATTTTGAAAAAGGCCACCGAGTATGTCCACTCCCTCCAGGCCGAGGAGCACCAGCTTTTGCTGGAAAAGGAAAAATTGCAGGCAAGACAGCAGCAGTTGCTAAAGAAAATTGAACACGCTCGGACTTGCTAGACGCTTCTCAAAACTGGACAGTCACTGCCACTTTGCACATTTTGATTTTTTTTAAACAAACATTGTGTTGACATTAAGAATGTTGGTTTACTTTCAAATCGGTCCCCTGTCGAGTTCGGCTCTGGGTGGGGAGCAGGACCACCAGTGTGGGGTTCTGCTGGGACCTTGGAGAGCCTGCCTCCCAGGACGCTGGGTGGCCCTGCAGCCTCCTCCACCTCACCTCCATGACAGCGGTAAAAGTTGGTGATGGTTGGGAGCCTCTGGGGCTGTTGAAGTCACCTTGTGTGTTCCAAGTTTCCAAACAACAGAAAGTCATTCCTTCTTTTTTAAAATGGTGCTTAAGTTCCAGCAGATGCCACGTAAGGGGTTTGCCATTTGATACCCCTGGGGAACATTTCTGTAAATACCATTGACACATCCGCCTTTTGTATACGTCCTGGGTAATGAGAGGTGGCTTTTGCGGCCAGTATTAGACTGGAAGTTCATACCTAAGTACTGTAATAATACCTCAATGTTTGAGGAGCATGTTTTGTATACAAATATATTGTTAATCTCTGTTATGTACTGTACTAATTCTTACACTGCCTGTATACTTTAGTATGACGCTGATACATAACTAAATTTGATACTTATATTTTCGTATGAAAATGAGTTGTGAAAGTTTTGAGTAGATATTACTTTATCACTTTTTGAACTAAGAAACTTTTGTAAAGAAATTTACTATATATATATGCCTTTTTCCTAGCCTGTTTCTTCCTGTTAATGTATTTGTTCATGTTTGGTGCATAGAACTGGGTAAATGCAAAGTTCTGTGTTTAATTTCTTCAAAATGTATATATTTAGTGCTGCATCTTATAGCACTTTGAAATACCTCATGTTTATGAAAATAAATAGCTTAAAATTAAATGATGCAACTCAACCTTTTCCTTCATGGCACTATACTTTGTCCCTTAAGGAGCAACCATAAATAATCCATAACTTATAGAGGGGATTTGGTTTCCATAACTAGCCCTTTTTGCACCTGTACAATCCTGGTTGGGGGGCATGAGTCATTGTCCCCACTTAAGGTGGAGGGAACTGAGTTTGGGGAAATTTCCAAGATTATGCAGAAGAGAGATGTCATCAGTGACTATTCTGTGCATTGTAGCAATGGCACTTGACAGTTTGCAGAGCACTTCTGTATATTGTGGCTCCTTAGTGGAATTAAGCTGGGACCTCAGATCAGTCCCTGTAAAAGAAAAGGAAAAGCAGTCACAGGGTTGTTTAACTCGCTTGTATTGGGCTTCGGTAGTATTTGCCCCATTGGCAGACAGTCTTCTGTCTTAACATAGAGGACAGTTTGTCTCCAAGAATTCATTGTTAAAAACCTTTACTAGGATCTGTGGAGGTTCTAGGCTAAGCGTGGTAAGCAGAGTAAAAAGATGGAAACGGGTTCCTCCCTTCAATGAACTCAACCTGATTCACCAACGTGTAATTCATGAAGTGACAGTTACGTAGTCCAGAGCAAGTACCAGGTGCAGGAGAGACCCTGGGGTCACAATGGAGACCCCATATGGGTGGCGTAGCTCTCTACTAGCCATTCCTATCACACAGCAGTGTCTTGGCTACTCCGGCTTCCCTGTGGAGATGGGATCAATCTTGCAGGCTCCAGAAGACTGAGCCAAGACTTATTTGTTACGGAGGTTTCAGATAGTTTACCTGTTGGGACGTAAGACCCTTGCTTGTAAGCAGCTTCTCAGAACTAAAAGTGTACAAATAACCTATTTCTCTTTTGAGAGTCAGGTTGTACTCAGTTATTTCTCTAGGGTTTTGTTTATCTCAGATTTTTAACTGTGAGCTGGAAAAAAAAACAAAAAAGGCCTTTTGCTTCACTGAGAAGAACGCAGGTCCAGAGATGAGACAGCTTTGCTTGCCTGGCCACACGGTTTGTCGGGGCAGAAATGGGAGACACCAAGCCATGTGTCCTTGTCTGCTTTGGTCATTTTATTTCATTATTATTTTTTTCTTTTGAGATGGAGTCTCACTCTGGTGCCCAGGCTGGAGTGCAGTGACGCAATCTTGGCTCACCGCAACCTCCGCCTCCCGGGTTCAGGCGATTCTCCTGCCTTAGCCTCCTGAGTGGCTAGGACGACAGGTGCATGCCACCACACCTGGTTAATTTTTTGTATTTTTAGTAGAGACAAAGTTTCACCATGTTAGCCAGGATGGTCTCGATCTCCTGACCTTGTGATACACCTACCTCGGCCTCCCAAAGTGCTGGAATTGCAGGCATGAACCACTGTGCCCAGCCACTTTGATCATTTTATAAAGGCAAGTAGGAGTTCAGAACTCGAGTTTGAGATATGAGGTAGGTGAGACTACCATGTACATCTTTCTGATGGTCTTGCCATGTAGAAAATAAGACAAAATGCCCTTTAATTCTCCTAGTCTCCATCCCCAGACTAGAAATAATGCACCCTTTCTTTTTGAGTTGTCATTCAAAAAACTTCTGTTCGTTTGCATTTTACAGGCCCCAAATCACTCACAGCCTCTGCCCCGCTGTGTATGCAAGAGGCAAAAGAAAGTTAAGCAACCTCACGTTAATTGTGCACCTAAGATTCTTGAAACCCAGCTCAGTCATCCCAATTTCTCTATTTGTGATTCCTATAAGGAGCCTACCTGAGTGTGTCCAGTGAAATGGAATGCTTAACTGTGAAGAAAGAAAACTGTTTATATGAATGAGGCCACTAAACTACAATTCCTCCTATACTCTCTTTTTGCTCTGGCTACTGGGAAGCTCAGAGCCAAATTCCACCCCCTGTAACATCTCCAGTGGTCATTCTCTTCTAAATGTTTACGGTTTCTGGTTTTGCATTGTTAGGTTAGTCATCTTTTTAATGTATATAATGTAGTATATAACATGAAATGTTTTTGCATTAGGTGGACCACAAATATGCACCTAAAGTATTAAAACTAAAGTGAAAAAATCCCATATTTGCCTTTTCTGACCTAGCTGAGAGAATGTCACCAAATTTAGCTCTGCAATTATCTATAAAGTAATTGCTGTAGTCACAGAAGAATTGAACTAGTTGTTTCAATAACATGAGAAACCATCTCTGCATTCCAAGAGCAGTTTTGAGACCGGGAAAGAGCTCTACATCATTTAGATCAATAAATCATAGAGCTGAGACGGAGCACAGAGATCATCTCATTGAAATTCATTTCACAGAATGGGGGTGCGGGATCCCACCTGGAATTAATGGCTTTACCCAGGAAGACTAGAGCCAGGGTCTCCTATGATCTGCCCAGTGCCCTTCCCATAACATTTGCTTTCTCATTGCCCACACAGTAGGCTCCCCACCTCCTGGCTCTCCTGTCCACCTACGTCATGCTTCCATATTAACCCTTCTAAACCACCTACTTGTTATGCAAACTTCCAACAGTTCCCTGAGTCCTGACTCTCCTGCCCAGCACGGAGCTGCTTCTACCCGTCCCACCAGCTCCATGGCCCATGGCTCTCCGGGTATTGGACTCTGGCTGTTTCTCATTCGTGACTTGTCTCGCCACATCCCTCCTTCTGGGTTATCCAGATTCCATTAATTGAAATCCTTCTCAATCTTGCACCCCCAGGTGGGCCTTTCCCAGCCCTTGGCCTCTGTGCACTTATCCTCTAGCCCCTCTGGAGACAGAAAAGCTGCCTTATACACCTCCTAGACCCTCTAAATTGTGGGCTCCCTTAAGGCAGTTAGGGCTCTCATTTGCCTCTGATTCTGAGCACCTGCCCTGTGACTGACAGGTGCCAGAGCCTTAGCAGATGCCAGCAGTAGAGACGGTAACAGAGGAAGGAGCGAGGTGAGGATTTCCACTATGGGTGGGTCTCCCACCAACCCCAGTTCACAAGCTCTCGGGCCAATTCAGATGGGAAAAGATATCCTTTAGACCTCAGTGAGTGTCTGGTACCGACTATGCTGGCAGGTCTGGGGAAGTGAAGATAAAATGCTCATACAGGCCTGTCTACAAGAAGCCCACAGTCTGCAAGAGAGGTAAAGCCCTGGGGATTGTATAGAAGGCAAGGGGAGAAACCAAGAGGCACTGGGGTTGAGGGGCTGATGAATGAAAGCATATGAGGGGCCTCGTGGCTGAGTTTGGGGCAGTCTGACGGAGGAAGCTGGTCCTCTGCCTTGGTTCACTGAGTCTACCCCTGGCCTGGCCTGAGGCAGCTCAAACACTTGCCTTAGGCCACAGATGGTCTACACTCACAGTGAAAAAGGTTGCAGTGCCTCCCACCCCTGCGTAGCACTGCAGAGCTTCCCAAGTTTTTGTATGCTTGAGTCTCACAAATCCTTGAGGATTTTTGACCAGTTTATCACATTTCCACATTATAAGTGAGGGAATTTGGTCTTCTGAGTTTTAGTTTCATTAATCCCTGTGGTGGCTATGTTTTGAAATTCTGATATGGGTTGTTTTCAAAATTAGAGGTTGTTTGATTTGGAAGAAGCAGAGAAGCCAACTAGCTACTCTCCCATTTCAGGGAAGGCACCTGCAGTCTGCTTGTGAGAATTCTATTTTTATTTTATTTTATTTTATTTTATTTTATTTTATTTTTTGAGACAGGACCCTGCCGTGTTGCCTAGCCTGGCATGGAGTGGCTGATCTCAGGCACAGTGTCACTCCTGATCAGCACGGGAGTTTTGACCTGCTCCATTTCTGACCCGGGCCAGCCAGTTCACACCTCCTTAGGAAACCCGGTGGTCCCCTGCTCCCAGGAGCTTGCCATATTGATGCTAAACTTAGTATGGACACCCAGTAGACATAGGGCGCTATAGCCCAGAACTCCTGCACTCAAGTGATCCTCCTGCCTCAGCCTCCTGAGTAGCTGGGACTACAGGTGCACACACACTGCCATGCCTGGCAGCATTCTTTTTTCTTTTTTTCTTTCCCTCTTTCCCATTCTCTCTCTCTCAACAAATATTTATTTAGCAGCTACCATGTATCAAGCACTGTTCTAGGTGCTTGGGAGACATCAATGAACAAAAAGACAAAACTCTCCCAAATCTTCTCTGCCTTCTTGAAGTTTATAGTCTGAGAGAGAGTGACATCTGTACAAATAAACACAAAAAGCAAATAAATTAAACAGTATCTAATATAGTGGTGAATGCCACAAAAAAATAAGTAGAAAGGCTAGAGGAATTCAGGGATGCCAACAACAGAGGTAGGGGGCTCAGGGAAGGCGCATGTGGTCCTGGGAGCTGAGGGACAAGGCCTGTGGGGAGACCGTCCAGCCCTGGGCACTCTTTTACTTGCTCAGAAACCAGAACTCAGGCCTCAGGCTTCTTGGTTCAGTGCTTAACTACCCTTATATCCCTCTAGACATTGGTAAATGTACCCCAGCAAGTTTCCATTCACTGTCTCGAGAAGAAACCATTGAGCATAGTAGTTAAGAGTATGAATCTGGGCCGGGCATGGTGGCTCATGCCTGTAATCCCAGTACTTTGGGAGACCGAGGCAGGTGGATCACCTGAGGTCAGAAGTTCAAGACCAGCCTGACCCACATGATGAAACCCCATCTCTACTAAAAATACAAAAAAATTAGCCAGATGTGGTTGCAGGAGCCTGTAATCCCAGCTACTCAGGAGGCGAAGGCAGGAGAATTGCCTGAACCCAGGAGGCAGAGGTTGCAGTGAGCCAAGAGCACACCATTGCACTGCAGCAGCCTGAGTGAGAGAGCAAAACTCCGTCTCAAAAAAAAGAGTATGAATCTGAAGTTAAGAGTCCCAGTGTGGGGCGTGGTGGCTCAAGCCTGAAATCCCAGCACTTTGGGAGGCCAAGACGGGCGGATCACGAGGTCAGGAGATCAAGACCATCCCGGCTAACACGGTGAAACCCCGTCTCTACTAAAAATACAAAAAACTAGCCGGGCGAGGTGG